TCGAATTGGAGAATGATGTTTGAATCAAAGTTGTAGCCAGATGAGTTAGTTTTCCAACGCATTTTGAATCGCCTCAATCGGATATCGGAATACAAAGTTATGATAAAAACACTGAAAGAAGGTGCATCTACCTGTTTAAAACAAGAAATTCCGTTACATAGTCCGTTAAAACAACAAATTCCGTTAGTTTTTCCGTTAAAAACAAGAAATTCCGTTACATAGCCATAGCCACTTTTAATATATAGAAGATATAATAAAACTCTCAACCATGCGAAATACACGAGATTGGAAACGTTCAATTCTCAATTATAAGATCGAGGACAATAAATTTTAACCAAAATGGGACTCGAGACTGGTGGTTCCAGGTTAAAATGCACCTCTCCACTTAAGGTAGGCAAAGTTATGTTAGAATAAGAGATATCATACTTTTTTTTTAAACGTGTGAACCTCCAGTTTTTGCAACTTTTTTTTTTTATTCGTTTTAATAAAAACTGACCAAACTCTATTGAATATAGTGAAAACTGGAAATCGAAAGCCTCATGTTCAATTACATGTACATGGAAAAAGGGAGAGAAAAACAAAAGAAGTGTTAACAAGTTACGGATGGCAATGAATGGGAGAGTCCTCGCCCCACCAGGAATATTCAAGGGGTACGGTAAATCTCTACATTTATCAGTGTTGTAAATTGCGCGCCTAAACGCAAGGCGTGGCGTTTTCGCCACTCCTTGACCGCTTAATGCACGCTTCAATTCTTAAAAGGCTCGTTTGCCCTACATAAAGTATAAACACAGCCAAAGAAAGAAAGTAAGAAACAGCAAATTCCTTCTCCTCCAAATCCTTTATTGTCCCAAAAATTCCTTTCTCCTCCAAATCCAATTTCCACTTCGGCACTTCCTAGGATAAGCGGGTAACATCACCATGTGCAAAAGAGACAAACCCACTATAAAGGGGAACAAAAACTGAATCCGGATTTATGCCAAGAAGAAAAGTGCTATTAAAAGTTGTGTAATAAAGTCGGTTTGTGCATTTGCAGCTTTGCTTCGTGTTTCTTACCAGATTTGTTTTCGTTTTTTACCTTTTATGGGCAACTAGGAAGAGGAGGATAATGATGGGGGTACTAAAAATGGTCAGAATGAAATAAGGGGAGCTGAGGAGGAGAATTTTGTATCGGATGACGAATTAGATGAAGAAAAAAATATTAAATTGGAGTTTGATAAAGAGTTAGATAAGGTTTAAGTTCATATTATCTACAGTATGTAATTATTATTTTGAAACTTAATTTTTTGTTAAAAACTTTGAAAAAAATTGTATAAAATTCCTATAAATTTATTTTAGATGTTTGTTAGGTATTATTTTTAATTATTAAATGATTTTTAAATTGATTAACAATTAAAAATAATATTATAATAAGAAAACGTTTTTTTATTCCTATGCATGCTTGCTTAGCCCTACTTCCACGCATTGCTGCGCATTACGCTCTTTAGTACACCGTTATTTATCGCTCCATTTACTTTATTTTTTTGATATTATATTTATTTTACAATATGTTTTAAATATAAAAACGAAATAAGAAAATAATATTCAGTCTAGTTCAAGGCAGGAACATATTCTCGTCTTATCCCTGCTACAATGAGGGACAAGGGTCGAGCATGGCAGGATATACGCGGGACACGTCAAATATACTTATCTTGCACATGTGCATTTGTTAAGAGATATTTCATATTGGTTAAATACTTAAAATATAAATTAACATATAAATTTTTGAGCTATTGCTCTTAATGAGGTAATATTTTAAGATGAAATCCAAGTTTTAAAATAACATCAGAGTTCATTGAAGCTTTAACGAACAATTTTGATTCAATTAAGACAAACGAACACACAAAATTCAAGATTGATCTGCTCATACGAATCAATATCTTGTAAAAACATATTGCGGAACAAATCTATCGAAATATAGACAAACATATGAGCGTCTAAACTACTCTTAATAATTTTGACTTTTATGTAACCCCAGATTTTATTAATATAAAAGCATGATGTACTCCTAAGTTCCTCCTATCAAGTGGAACGTTTTAAACTACTTTACAAAAATTTAAAATTTAAAATATAAAAATGTAAATGTACTTATTTATTTGTTTATATTGTCTTCAATAATTTGCGCACACATTGCCTAAATGAATGGCAATGAAACTTAAATTTAAGACATTTGCTGAACCTTCTCATCTAAAAATTTGTCGCCAAAAACACATCTGGTTTATTCCTAAATGATGCACAATTTAATATTTTGTTCAAAAACTGTGCTGCACAAACGCCTAAATGACCGCACAAGTCATCAAACATGTTAAAAATTCAATTTTTTAAGATTATAGTATCGTGTTAGCTCAAAATCTTGCATTAACAAGATTGCCTGTAAAAGCAGCAACATGAAATCAGCTGTTCATGTTTCCCCAGGAGGAGCATACAACAGAAAAGTGCTGGCTCAAAAAAGATTAGAAGTGGCTATGAGAAAAACATGAGAAAGGATCAGACGAGAGTTTATTCAGCAAAAACAATTTATCAATTATTTCCACTAGATCTTCCCTCCATAATTAGGATTTATGTAAGCCCGAATAGTTCAGTAGTATAATTTCAACATTGTACAGAAAAATTAGCTGACTGGTGGAGCAAGGTACTCAGGTTCTGGAGACACCTCAGCTCCTCCACAGCTGTTGGATTGGGGCTGGTCGAAACCCCATAGCTTAGCAGCTTTTACATCGTCCTGCACCATTTGCCTCGAGAATTCCTCGTGGTTGTACTGCAGTGTGGCTTTACCTCCAAGCTCAGCTGGGAGATTGTCCACATCAAAATAGGATCGCATGAGTTCCACACTGTCTTTATTCTTTGGGTATACAAATTTCACCTTCTGGAATGTTTTTGCATCCAAAAAGTATTTTACAACCTGCAATGAATGAACATTTCTAAATTAGCATGGAGTAAAGATCAATTTTTCACCTAATAAAACATGAACAAAATTGCAGCATGAAATGTAAAACTTTCTAATTGAGATTTGCACACAGAATTAATTTAATTTCAGTATGGTTCTAACTTTTAATCCACACACCCTCCCTCCCTCACTAAGAAAACCACCAATAAAATGATGATTCAATCCATGGTAAAAGAATACTCTGCATAATCCAACAAAAAAGGAACACAGTGCTAAGCCTATTCCCTCATTTACTATAGACTCAAAAAATGTCAAGGATTATAAAAAGCAAACCTTCCAAAATGCTTCAAATATGCGCGGGGGGTTGTATAAAAATGCTATAGCTAGTCTTTCAGGGTAATGATTTTGTAGTATATTGATAGTATCTCGAGCAGATTTGATGGGGACATTGGTGCTTAAAGACCATCCCGTGAAGTCTATTAACCATGCCATCTGTTCTTGACCTTCTGGAAGATTGAGTATGGCATTTTCTATGAGATAAACCAGATGTTTCATCTGGTTATCTATTGATACAGTATTCTGCAAAGATATAACAGATTTCATAATCTTTTCATCATCTAAGAAAATAGAGATGACAGCTACATTTAAATACCTGCATTCCTGGTCTTAGTATAAGAACGGTCCTGCCATGACGATCATGAAAATTAGCTCTGTATACCTTCCCTGTCTCACCTTCAATTGCAACTTCAGGCTAGCAGGTTACAAGCATTTAAATGATCAATATAACTTTAAGCCATCTTAAATATTAAAATCACAGAATGAAGAACAATTAGGGGAGATGCCATAACTTATATACCATCAGCAAGAAGAACTACAATTTGCATGTGTAATCCAATAAAAATTAATTAGTTCTGACTATGAATTTTGATAAACACAGTTCCGACAATTTTGTGTGTGCAAGCAAAAAAATAAAATAAAATAAAAATGAGATATCAACTCTCTTACCCAACGAATTTCTTCAGGTTTATACGCAGATCTCCATCTCAATGTCTCCTCCAACATCTTCTTTGACTTGTCCACATTCCAGTTCCGGGCTTCCAAATATCTCTTCAAGCACGCGTCACTGCAATACTGCAAGCTACGACCAGAAAGTGGTCCCAGAGCATATTTAAGCTCGTTGACCTGCATGCAGATCTTAATCAGATCATTTGCAAGCATTTGAACAATAAGGAAGTAGTTCAAAAATCTAATGGTAACAATTAATTGTTAAGAAACGAAACTCAATATTTTAAGGCTCAGAAATTTTGCTAATCAGTGAAGATAACATACTGGCTAGTGGCTACAGATTTTAAATCTCCTTTCATTTCCAAAATACTAAATAGAGTTCACAAAAAACATAATTATCAGTCTATAAGTAAATGTGGTGACCATACAACTAGATAGAAATTAGGATTCTAGTGAAACTAACATTCACTTTTATTTTAGTGACTTCAACCAGCTAACATGTAATCAAATCAATGTACCATAATTTTGTTGTGGAATCAGAAGTTATTACCTTGTGTTCATGCTGCAGCTCACCACTCTCCTGATCACTCTGACAATTACTCTTGCGGCTGAACATGGTAAATGTTAGTGCCAGTGACTAAGCTTGCCTGTGACAAAGCAAATTGTAGAAAACCATTTTAGTACCAATCTACTACGAAAAAATAAGAAAGCGGTAAAACAAAAGAAATCGCAAAAAAGCAATACCCAAAACATGAGAAACAACCCGGTAGTATATAATTGAGTATGAAAAATGGTCCAAATTATATTCTAGTACCATTCGAAAGCATATTAATCTGCACAGATAATTACAAAGTACAATTCTCTATAGAGAATTATAGTTGAATAATCATGAGCACTATGCAGGACTGGCCCACAATAAAGATCGCTATGCGGAATCAATCAAAACTCTGAAGGCCCAAGCTAGAACGGCATGGTAGTACACAGAAGCAATATCCAAAATCTAGTTTCTCTAAAGCTATCAAGAGTACAGTATCACAAAATGACATCCCTCTTATTTTTAGTTTCGAACTAGCAACCAAGAGTAACCCAATCTTTCTGCAGAACTTCAAACGATTCAATCCTTTCAATTTATCTTGGGATTTTCCGTGGAGTTAGAATAGGATATCTCAAGCAAAAGTCAATAACAGGCACAATCTCAGTATATGGGGTCGTTGAAAAGCCAATAGCGCGGTGTAATACAGAAGAAAATTATTCAAAAGGTCAGTATGAAGTCAATTAAGGTTGGCGAACCCAAACCACCAAGAATGTCGAATAATAATCAAAACGTCCAAACAGAAACTATAAAATTATTGAAAGGTATTTTATAGTTTTTCTTTTCACTCATGAACGGATAAAAAAGGATAAAATTCCGATTTTTTTAACAAAAATAGCATTGGAAAAATAAATAAATGAAGCAGATTCTCAATTTAACAACTTTTCCTCCCACTGCATTCCCTTCACAATCACCGTTTACTATTTAGAAAGATTGTAATTTCGTCAAGTTCCAGTTAAACCTATTTTATCAGAATGGTAAAAATAGTCAACGAAATACGATCGAAGCCATTGAAAAACCGAAAAAAAATCCAGAAACCAAAACAGATCCAAGAAGCTGAAGCCATCACCGATATCACATAACAAATGCATAAAATCAAAGCGGATTAAAAAAAAAACAGAAAAATTGCAAAACTTTACCAGTCGGTTACTACCGAGAGAAAGAGAGCCCGTTGCGTGCTCTTAATCTTTAATAGGATATCATGCAAATTCTTCCACAAACTGAACGAATAAATCAAACTGATGTACACACACACATGTATATGTGGAGAGAGAGATTTCAGAGTAATTGAGCTCTCAATACTGTGATTGTGTGGTTCTTTATAACTACTTTAAATCGGAAAAATCAACGATCCAGATATTTTCCAAGGCCTCGTGAGAGAATTGAACGTACAGGATCACGTACTTTTGTATGCAGATTTTTTACTAAAGTCAAATCCAGGTGTCTGATTGCTTTGACAATAGAGTCGCCGTATGTCGACATAACAGGTCTCTCACGTCACGGGAACGGACTTCACTTCATCCCTGAAAATTATGGATTTAATGTAAATTTAAAAAACAAAAAAAAAAAACTGTTAAACGTAGTTGTAGTAAAAATTAGTATTCTAAAAAGTTCGTCTAGGCAGCGCCTAGGCATCTCCTAGACTCGAAATCCAGGCAAAATGCCTCGTTTCGTGCTTAGACACTGAATTTTTTCCTTCAACTCTTTCGTCTTTCCTAGGCGTGCTTTATTAAATTTTTTAATTTTTTAAAGTTTTATTTGACTTTGGTTTATTAATTTTTTTTATTTTTTAAAAAAACTTTTCATTTGATTTAAATTTTAAGTTTTTAAAAGATTTTATCTATACAAAAGTTAAAAATGACTTTATTTAATAAAAAGTTAAATAAGATTAAACTAAAGTACTATCTACATATGTAATTATGATTTTGAGATTCATTATTTTGTTGAAAATTTCGAAATCAGGTATGAAGTTCATATAAATCTAATAAGTATTTCTTATCTAATTGAAATTTGAAATTATGAAAAATAGTTTAATTTTAATATTTCGAAAACTTGAAAATTGTATAATTGATTAATTATATGAATAATTAAGTAGATATAGTATTTTATAATTTTAGATATTTGATATGTATAATTTTTAAAATAATTAAAAATTTCAAATAATATTAAAAATAAGAAAACATTTTTTTACGTTTAAGCATCGCTTAGACTCGTTTAAACTCGTAAAATTTGAAGTTTTGCTTCCACGTCTAACCATGTTTTACGCTTTTTAGATTATTGATAAAAACTAATGCTTTTATATTTCTCAAAGCAATATAATTCTATTTTATTTGACAAATAACTTTAGATATATAATAATTATTATTAAAAGAAAAGTATAAATAACATTAAGCCTCTGTCATGGCCATTATTTGGTAAAAATAATGTTTTGAATAATAATCGTTAAGAGAATTTGTGGTTAAAAAGTAACGAAATATTTTAAATTTATATACATAATATTTTATTTTATGAATATATGATTAAAAATAAGTACGCAGCCCCTGTTTGATACACATTCTCACGAAAATTCATTCGTGTATAACTTATTTTCAATCACACATTATTCAATAAAATAATATTACATGCAAATTCAAAATTTTTCTTTATTTTTTAAACATATATTTTTCATCCCCTCACATCATAAAATACATTTTCTTCTTCATAACGTGCATCAAACATCCTCGTAGAAAAAAATTCAAATAATAGTGGTTAGACGGGCTAATTTAGCATGCCAAATGTGAATATGGTTTCTAAGAAGAATCTTGGCAAGGCCAAAAGTCAAGTCAAGACCACAAAATTTGACCCATTTTTCTTTCTTGCTCTGTGGACCAGTACCAGACAGCTTAATTGATAGACTATTGCTAATTGATAAGAGATTTAAGGGCTTGTTTGGCAAACTTTCAAAAAGTTAAAAAAATTGTGAAATTAAAAAGTTGCTTTGTAAATATTTGGATAATTTTGTTAAAGTGTTTCGTCTGATTAGAAGAGTACTTAAAAGAAATTGATTTAAATAATTTTCTCAAGAAGTACTTCTACAAACAGACGCCAAAATAGAAAAATTGTCAAACAGACCCTTAAGTTAAAAGAAAACAAATATAAGAATTCTTCAAGCTTCCAGATGATACAATTATTTGGATTAATTAAGTCAGATGAAAGAACTTTCGATGCTTAATTGGTCATTAACATCCATTAAAATTCTATCTAATTGGGCAATTCTCTTCGTTTTCTTGTACATTGTATATTTGTAAAGATACTCGATGAATTTTTTAATGGAAAATTACATCCTTGGTCCTCAATTTTATTGTCTAAATAGCAAGTTAGTCCTTTACTTTCAATTTTAGTTGTAAAATTACTCAACTAATTATATAAACAACTAAAATCTCTAAATCGTGGTTTGATCCTTGCAAGTTATATTTTTTACAGTGGATTTTGCTACTTGTACATAAAAAGTTTATATAATGAATTACATAATATGACGTGGAGGGAAATGATTGGATGAAAAAATTGATTGTATTATGTTCCTTCTTATATGGGATAGGTGATCGAGATTTGAAGGCTAATTGGGGCCTAATTGTCTAATTAAATAAAATATTGAAGACTAACTTAAGTTTTAAAAAAAATCAATTTGAGACGGAAAAAATTGATTGAAGACTAATAATAAAAAGTTTCCCTTTTTTAAAATTCAATCATGTTACATGTATAATACATGAGTTACTACATTGGGTTACAACCTCTTACAAGGGAGGTGGGCCTCGCGATTAAAATAAGGGAAAATTACCATAGACCAAGTCTTTAGTTTCACGTTTTAAAAAATCAGATTTTCACTTTATTTTTTCACTTTTCAGGTTTTTATCATTTTAATTTATCCAAACCCTAAATCTATCCATTTCTCTCCAGTCTCTCACCTCTCTCCACAACGCCGCCTCCTCAATTTCTCTCCATCCTCCCACACCGCTGCCTCCTTATGCAGAAGCTTACCTGCTCAAATCTTCCCAGTAAACCATTGAATTACAGCACTCGCATAGCTTGGGGAAAGGCAATTTTAGCCAGTAGTCGCATCAAAGAGATCTGCTCATATTTCACATTTCACAAAACTATTTTTGCATAATATTTTTTGGTATTATATTAACTGAAAATACTTGCCGAGTCTGTGAGCGTAGCCTCCTCGATTCCTTTAATTTCTACTCCCTTAGCTGCAAGGTATCATTTATCTATTTTAATTTCTGCTCCCTTGGCTGCAAGGTATCATTTATCTATTCACCTCTTATCTTTTTCGTGAAAAACGATTCATTTTTCGACCCTTATGAATCTATGGTGTGATAGATGAAATGATCAGATTGTGGTTGTGGGATGAAACCATAGCCGGCGGCGGCACAAAAGGCATAATAGACTGATGAAGAACAGAATCCAACCGGAGGAATTATTATAGAATATTGTGACCTAGGAATTGTAACCGTAACTCACTGAAATAAAGTTGCGACAAGTAAACGTTTTGATTTTTTTTCAATCTGTGACATGTGTGGGTGTCTGTGATCTGGAAATTGGGACTGTGACTCGCTGAAATAGAGCTGTGACCCGTAAAAGTTTTGATTTTTTTTTAATCTGTAACCTATAAAAAATTACCGTGACCTTAAAATTCTTGATTTGTGACTAACGAAATTAACTGTGACCTATAAATTTTTTCATCTGTAATCTCGAAATAATCCGAGACAATTAATTTGATAAACTGTGACCTGAAATTAATTTTTAACTAATTAATAAGATATACGCTATCAAATTACACAATTAAATATTTAATTAATTAATAAAAAGTAGAAACCTGATTTTTACAATTTTAAAATTTAGCACCTGACTTTTTAAAATGTCAAACTAAATACCTGAGCCATAAACTTTTCCCTTAAAATAATAGTGGGCCCCACTTTTATTGTGAGATGTTGTAACCCAATATTGTACAAGGAGCATCATTCTTTAAATTTTGGGTAGCAGCACGAGTTCTCTCAATTTTAGTTTTTTTAAGTGAAAACAAATTAATAAAGTAAATAGAAAACGTGCAAGAAAACTTTGAAGTTTGAAAACAGGCCAAAGTTGGTTGTCGATTTGGACCAAAATTGAGACCACAAAAGTAAAGAAGTTGACAGTAAAAATTGTTTTAAATTACTAGTGGTTGAATCGTATAACACGATTCCTGCAAATGGTAAAAACGTGTTTGAATGTGGTTAGGTCTTTCATACAATACTACTTGTTGAAGTCAAAAAATGTAACATGATTTCTTGATCAACAAGAGATTAAGGATGTTTATTGCCAATAATCTTGAGACCAAGTACATAATTTGCGTAAAAAGGAGAGTATCCTAGAGAAGTGAAGTATCGTTTAGAAGGGGGTCCGAGCTATATATTCGGAGGGGACCATTGATTCATGTTTATAGTAGGGAAGATCACACCATTTGATCGACTCATGTCATTTAAGTGACAATACTATCCTAGAAATGTGTGCCACTTATCCAAGTTTATGTTGCTTTGATTGGTTGTTGAGGTCGGCATCGTCAAGTCATTATTACTCCTAGTTCTCAACTACGCTATTAGGTAATGGTGGCATGACATTAAATAATCATTAATGGCTGCTGATTAGTCGAGAAGATGTGCTAATGCCAGAGTTGTCAAGTGTCATTCCTTGAATGGAGAGTGCAGAGGCACGATAGAGTGGCAAGGATTTAGGCATCATCATTGTCTCTATAGATTACAATGGTCGTTGGTCCCAAATGGTCGTTGGACTAATGCATCCGACCTTAATGTCTCTCACAATTGTTGAAAAGTTATGTCTCAATAAACATAGTCATTCAGATCTGACTAGAGAATTAACAATTGCCTTAGAAGTCTATGGCAGTTGGCATTCTATTATATAGATCATTGTTATCTAAAACTAGTAATGCTAGAGTACTAATTTAGATAATTATACTTGATAGATTCTATTAAATTTAATGTCATATAATTGTCACATAAATTGATGCTTGAAGCCAATGATGCTAAATAATATTACTTTAAATCATTGTGTCGCGTGACACAATCCTTTGAATCCACTTGTCACTGCTTGATTCCTAAGCCCAAGTCACATAACCAATGGAGAAAATTACCTCAAAACCTGCATTTGAAGATTATATTTCAAAAAACAGGGGATGAAGTTTTTTTTTTCACAAATCAGGTGATAAATTGAATTATTAATTGTAATTAATAAAAAATTAATCTAACATTCATCCCAACCCCGATTATAATTCTCTTCCTTCTCTCTCTCTCATTCTCTCTCTACCACCCACCCAACCCCCAGTCTCTACCGTATCTTTCCGGCACCGCTGTTCGTGGCGGAGCAATACAACTGCAACCAAATCAATTGGCAGTCGTGGGAATCCCAGATCCAAGGCTGTATCAAGATCTTCTAAGGCCGGTCTCCAATTCTCGTCGGCCGTGTCGCCTGTTTCCTAAAAAAGGATCGTTATGCAGAACGAGTCGGATCCGGTTCACCTGTTTACCTCTCTGCTGTTCTTGAATACCTCGCTGCGGAGTTATTGGAGCTTGCTGGGAATGGTGCAAGAGATAACAAGAAGAATCGGATTATTTCAAGGCACATCCAGTTGGCAGTGAGGAATGATGAGGAGTTGAGCAAGTTGTTGGGTTCGGTGACAATTGCGAATGGTGGTGTTCTGCCCAATATTCATCAAACACCTCTGCTGAAGAAGACTAGTGGGAAGGGTGAAATTGGGTCTGCTTCACAAGAATTTTAGGGCTTTAGTTTTGTACTGTGACTAATTGTGACCAGTTTTGTGTTAATTGTGATCGAATGTGACTTGAATATGATCAAGTCACAATCGGTCACAATTAACACAAAATTGGTCACAAACGGTCACACTGAATACAAATTTGGTCACAGTTGGTCACATTGAAGGCTGCAACCGAAGTTGGTGGTGTCGGCGAACTTTTCTGATCCCGATCGCGATTTGACTAGCAGATAGTTCATTGTGACCGTTTGTGGCCGATTGTGACTCGTTGAGACCGATTGTGACCGTTTGTGGCCGATTGTGACTCGTTGAGACCGATTGTGACCGTTTGTGGCCGATTGTGACCAATGGGTTGGGGGTGTGATTTTCAATTTTTTGAAAATTTTGGAATCGCCGGAACGGTCGCCGGAGAAATCGCTGAAGCGGTCGCCGGAGCAGTGGCCGGACCGGTGCTAGAGATGGAGAGAGGTGGTGTAGTGAGGAGATGGGGTGGGTGAGGTGTCATGGGGTGGTGTAAATAATTAATATATATTATANTTAATATTTAATATATTATAATTTAATATTTAATAAATTTATTTAGCACCTGATTTTTGAAATATTTTAAGAAGTTTGTTATTTATGAAATGTAAACTTTAAAAATAGGAACTATGTATTGTTCCCTAACCAATGCTCAACCTAATTGGGCTTACGGCGGCGTGCATGTGGATTTGGTCCAAATTCACCAACATGTAAGTCCTCCACCTTGCAAAGACTAGGACCTAAACCCAAATACCCAATTCTCCAAATTTAGTAATGTTACATAGCTGCACTGGGGTTACATTCTCAGTCCAGCTAACGCTAAATATTAGGTTAAACGAAATGTATAATTAAATTATTTATTTAATTTCACCCATCTTTTAATGTCTCATTTACACCACCTAAACTGGGGTTATAATCCCAATATGACTAAATACCATTACTCCTCCAAATTTAGCTATTTAAAGTAATCTATTTTTCAATGTGGGACAAATGACTTTTCATATCTACATTTAATTGCTTGTTTGTTTATCCCAATAAGTTTAAACTTATTTAATCTCTGCTTAGTAGATATTAAAATCGGATTTTTAGTAAATTTTAGTAAAAGTAATAAAATGTGTGATTGAAAATTCGTAAATCTCGTAAAATATGTGATTAAAATTAATTATAAGCTTCGATAAAATTTATATTTTAATTTCTATCAAACATGACTTTAGTATCAACATAGATGAACCTCTATCACTGCCTAAAGTGGTGTCAAACACTGCTTACATTAGATAGTATTGCTCATATTTATGCGCTTGTGTGACACAAAAAACGTTGAAAATCTATTCGTAGTCCGTAAGTATTAGAAACAAACAAACACGCTAATATACAACAAATAAATTTGATTTATATTTTATATAGGTCAATAAAAAATAATATATAATATAGGTTAGGAAATTCTTCAAACAAGCTTGGAATGTGTTCAAATAAGAATTTTTTTTAAGATTCATTTAAATACAAAGTCGCATGACTCATTTAATTGAGTCTATCATTTAATACCATATAATTGTCACGTAAACAGGAGCTCAACTCCAGTGGGGATGAATGATATTATTCCTTTTTAAAAGTTTTTTCCAAATTCCAAAACAAATAATAGTGTGCTACATATGCCCCTCTTAGTCATGTCACTTGGAAAACATTCGATGGCCTTTATTTTTTATTTTTTTTTAACAATAACATTTATTAATGTAAATAATAAAAAATACTTCACCCCTATGAATATATAAACTCATCAACAAATTCTGAAATGAGCATAAGCTTTAGAAAAAATGAAAAACTTAAGAACAAAATAAA